GGCGACTCCCGCGCGGTGCTTTGCCGCCACGGCGCCGCGCTGGATCTGTCGTGGGACCACAAGCCCGATCTCCCCGCGGAGCAGCAGCGGATCCTCCAGGCGGGCGGCTTCGTCCAGAACAACCGCGTCAACGGCCAACTCGCCATGAGCCGCGCGATGGGGGACTTCTCCTACAAGGCAAAGGCCGATCTTGACGACGCCAATCAGCAGGTGATCGCGGTCCCGGACGTCGTGATCGTCGAGCGAGACCCTGAGGCGGACACCTTCGTCGTCCTGGCCTGCGATGGGATCTTTGACGTCTTGTCAAACGAACAGTTGATCGACTTTATCGTTGAAAAGAAGGCGGAAGGGTTGGAGAATGAGGCCATCTGCGAGGCCGTTTGTTTGCATTGTTTGGCACCGCCAAGTATGGTCACAGGGCAACCCGCACGGCCTGACGGGACCGATAACATGACCATCATTATTGTGGATCTGCTCAACTAGTGTGGGGATGGGTGCAGGAGAAGCCTCTTTACCACGACACTAGCAGGGTCTCTCTCAAACGCCACCCTTGAATTCGTGTGATCGAGTTTTTGTCTTGGAGGTTCAATAAGCGCATCACTGCGATGGCACGTTGATAGGGTTTCCTATTAATTAGTGTTTATACATACACACACACACACACACACACACATTTATATATCTATATCTATATACACACATTGTCAAGTGTATATAACATGGCACTACTAAATTCTAGGGATGCTTACTTTTCACATTTTTATTTGCGGTTTAGCTTATCACTCTCTCTACCAATATCGTAATCTCAGCTAAAGCCGCTTCCCGCACCGAAGATTTCGGCGCGCTTGAAGGCTGAGAATGTAAGGGACTACTATAATGCCTACGTCTGTGTAGTTTCTGTTTGAGTTTTTATGACCTTGAAAAGCGACTTTGCTGGCATATTATCATCAACTTTGTGGTGTATCGTAGGACTAAAATGTAGCACCCACCGGTGGAAAGCGTGGGGTCGATACATATTGTAGGGCTAAATAATACAGAAATAAAATAAAGTAATTAATGCGATTATTCAGTTATTGTGGGTTCATTCTTATTTTGCTTTGCAGGGAGTGAGTGTTCCATCGATTAGTCTGTGAGTGGTTTGCATGAATCTCAACCCAATCTATCGTCTTTACCTTTCTGTTTTTCTTCTTCAAGATGTTATTGTTTTCATTAGAACTCCTTTTTTTTGGTTGTTGTTTTCATTCCAAACATAAAAGGTCTTAAACTTTGTCTACAGAACTACTTTTTTTAATCTTCCTTTCCTTTCCTTCCCCTCCCCTTCCCCTCCCTTCCCTCCATTTATTATCACGTATTGTTTAGTTGATATACACGCGTGGTAGTTATTACAACACGACAAAAATCCGCAGTCGTAATTTATAAAGTTCTTTTCCCAGTAACTGCGCGAAGTAAAAAAAAAAAGTTTCGAAGAAAAAAGATCGATTTCTTTCTCTTTTAAAAATTTGATCTATAGGAGGCCTTACACTGAGTCCCTAAAAAGTGATCTAAATATTTAGTAACCCGCATTTTTGAGTTTCTATCTGAAGGATTGACAGGTCAAAGCGTATCGTACTTTCCTGTTTTGTGGGTACTTTAAGATTTTTCCTCAAACGCCGTGCGTACATTGAGACAGTCGTCATTGATCTCGAGCATTTTTCGTTCCCTTTAGGAACCTCGGAATAACGCTCGATCTTCCTTCCTGCATAGCGTTTTTCCGCTTGAGAACTGCTGTTTTATTTTTAGATTTTCTTAGTTCCAGACAAAGATAATCAGGGCCCTGTAGCCTATTTGTATTTTTTTTAATTTAAGAAGAAGATCACTGCATTAACGCTATTAATTTTAATTCGAGTTATTGTTGCTATTCACAAAAGGGGAAAGTGTAGGTAATGGTCAAGAACAAGCGTCATGATATTGTAAAGCTATCTAAGTTTAAGACGTCGATTTGCACATATTTTGCGACCCCGTCAGGATGTCCCTTTGGTGACCGTTGCGCTTTTGCCCATGGCGAAGAGGAGTTGCGGGAGGAAACCGCAAATGCTAGTCCGCCCATCTATTGTCCCCCACCGCCTGAGGAGGCGGACGTCGGCGCCGGGGCCCTCGCCGCGAATAAGAAAGCGAAGGGGCCCACCACGTCAAACCCCTCCCTTGCCCAGTTATTCACGCCCGACATCAGCGGCAAGGTGCACT